CTGAATTACTCATAATAGGCAACTGTACTGTACCTTTCAAATGTATTACAGCGTTTCTTATCTCCTTTCCTTCTTTCTTTCTCTCCTCCCTCTCTCTTGCTCCTCCCTCTCTTTCTGTCCTCCCTCTCTCTTGCTCCTCCCTCTCTCTTCCTCCTCCTCCCTCTCTTTCCTTCTTTCTTTCTCGCTCCCCCTCTCGCACTCTCCTTCCGCACTCTCCCTTCCGCACTTCCCCTCTGCACTCTCCTCTCTCGCACACACATTCTCTCTCGTAGACAGAACAATATAGATGGCGTCCTCTTGCAGGTGTTGGTGGTGGCGCGGCGGGAGTGGACATGGGTGTGTGAACAGCTTCGTCGGGTCCTAGGTTCGAGCACCGTGTACCTACTCACCAGCCTCCCGGAGTACCACCACATCCTGCATGTGTGAGTATGGAGAGAGAGAGAGAGAGAGAGAGAGAGAGAGAGAGAGAGAGAGAGAGAGAGAGAGTCTGGTTTATTATTATCATTAGGTTCACATCCACAGGCTTACCGTGCTCATTATCTCTCTTATTTCTTGCTGTTTATCTCCTCTCTTACTCTGATCGTCTCCTTCTCTTCATATTGTCTCATGTTCTCTCCGCCTTTAGGTTTCTCATTTTCTTCTTCACAGTCTCTCAGAATAAAAGGAATATGAAAGAATCCTCATTTATGTGTTGAAGGTTGAATGTGAGCGTTTGGGGAGGGCCTGCACCAGCTGACCTGCTCTTACTGTGTGTTGCAGGCTGTTCCAGCGTGGTGGTGTGGGGTGAGAGTGGAGGGGAGGGCCTGCACCAACTGACCTGCTCTTACTGTGTGTTGCAGGCTGGAACGACACAGCGTGGTGGTGTGGGGTGAAGGTGGAGGGGAGGGCCTGCACCAGCTACCGTGGTCACAGTTCAGCTTGGTGGTGGAGTGGGAGGCAGGGGGTGACACCTCCACCTGCGTCCACCACTGCACCAGGCAGAACATCCCCGTCGTCTCCTTCACCACCAGGCAATTCTCAGGCCAGTAGCACCGTCTGTTCCCAAGTACTTCTTCTGTTGTGTCAGCGTTGGAGCGATTCTTGTATTTTCTTGTTTCAGAGGCTAGTTGGGGGGTGTAGGTGGATGTGTTTGTTTTACTTATTTCTGAAGTCTTCATCAGCAATTATCTCTAAATATAAACAGTCGACACGCTCTGTTACTTGTGTAGGTTAATACATGAGGTTAGTACAGGTTGATAACCCTTTATCCGAAAACCGAAAGTTTTTTTTTTTTAACAGGGATTAGCCCACCCAGGCATAGATCACTGACCAATATAATATATATATAATAGTTTATAATTAAATATAAAATAATAATGATAACAATAATAATAATAATAAAATATAATAATAAAATTAATAATAATAATAATAATAATAATAATAATAATAATAATAATAATAATAGTAACAATAACAATAATACTGTAATAATAAAATAATAATAATACAGTAAAGAAATACAAGAATGAAAAAAAGATCAAAAGTGAGAAACACGACCTAGACCTATGAATTATTATTATTATTATTAATGAAAAAAAGATCAAAAGTGAGAAACACGACCTAGACCTATGAATTATTATTATTATTATTAATATAATTTGTATTATATTTTCGCCCCCCAGGCCCACAATGTGGGTCAGTGATCTATGCCCGGGTGGACTAATACACATTAAAAAAAAAAAAAAAAATTTTGAAAACCGAAAAATTCCGAAATCCGAAATGCCTCTGGCCCCAAGGATTTCGGATAAAGGACTGTCAACCTGTATATGTTATTTTTCTCAGGAGCAAAATAGATGTATTCAGTCATTTACCAATTAACAGATGTAGAAAATTTTCACCAGATCCACAGTGCTGTTAAGGTTGGGTATCATGGTGAAGTATTCTGGTGCTTCTGTTGTTGTGTCATTAGTATGTCTAAACATCTGACTTCTGTGGGTGTTTACAGGTGGGACCGTCATGGAGGAACCCACAGGAGAGAGCATTTCGGCGAAGAAAAGGAAGACCAGTGAGAGGGACGACTCTGTTTGTGGTGGTGATGATGGTGTTAATGGTCGGAAGGGTGGTGAGGAGATTACCCTAGTGGCGTCAAACAGCGTCACTAATAACGCCGAGCTTCACTACATCCTTACCTCCATATACAACATTAACCTGGTGGAGAGATGCCTCAGGTAGGTCCTTAGTTTCAGTCATCCCTCCTGACACTCCGCCGAGCTGCACAGTGGTCTGAAATCGCTAATTCATGGCCAAAAATCTGTATGGTGAGGTGGAGAAATATGATGTGAAATATGGCTAAAGTGCTTCGTTTTTAGGGAGATCTACGTGATAAGAATTGGTGTGATATTTCATTTCGCCATATATATGTTATTTATTATCCAGGAAACACCAAAACCAGCAAAAAATATATTTATTATATGCTTAAGAAAATTATTTGTGGAAATGACTGAAATCACAACATAATTTATGCACATTTACGACATTGCATATAATTATCATCAAGAGTGTCCACATTTATGTATAAAACATGATCACGGTTCTGTGATAGCTTTGTCTGGCTCACATGGAGGATGTAATCGCAAATAACAGGTAAATACAAGTACATTTATTCTCGTGTTTTTTGCGCGTTCATTATTATGTTCATCTGGATGGATCATTATAAAGTTCTGTTCTGATTTAAGCAATCTGAAATATTTATTCAGTAAGAACTGACAAAATTTTTCGCGTAAAAAGAAAGGATTTTTAGCAAATATGTAATGTGGTTGGAGTCTGATTTAATACTAAGGAAAACGATTCAAGGAATTTTGGCGAACACTGCTGTGTAATATCCATAGACTTTGGCCATGAATTTGCCACGCCTAGCCCCATCGTTTTGTAGTGACCGAGACCAACATTAAACGCAGTGTGTCTAATATTTTTGCTATAACCTTTGCACTCTTGCTGCTGTATCATCCCCATCAACGTCTCCACGTCATGATGTCCTCATCTTTCACGAACTCTGCTGCATCTTTGATATTTTTCTCCACATTCACTTGGTGGTGGAAATGTGCTTTACACTTTATCATTTGGGCCCTTTATCTACCGACAGATTTTAGGAGAGACATGTGTGGGGCTGGGCCACTGCTTCACACCTTTTTTTTTAATTTACAGTTTATTTCATATACGTTTACCGGGTGAAGAGGTACAGTATTACTGTCTATCGACACATTATATCTGTGCAAATTCTACAACATCCGAGGAAGTCGACGAAATAAGGTAGGATGCAGAGTTCGAAAACGAAATAAAACCACCAACAATTTTATAATAAAAAAAACTTGTATTTAAGTGTACTGTACTGTTTCATAATATCTTTCATATCAACTACTCACTCCTGACCAAGAGTCACCCCCACAATCACTCAGGGACGTGGTGGTGGACGAGGACGAAGGGCACGGATGGCCGGACCTGTTGCTGGACGAGCGTACCTGTGTTGTGCTCCAGCCCCTGGCCCAGCTGCGGACCGACACAAACCTCAACCGACTCACTTGTCAACTGGTCCTCCTCTCCCTCCAGTGCACCACATGCTACATCATCCTTTACTCACATCCACCCACTGACTCAGGGTAAACAAAGTTTGCTTTTGATGTACAATAATTGGAGTGAGAGGGAAGCACTAGACAGTTGGACAGAGAGGGTGTTTACTGTTGAACTTACTTTATTTGTTAACAGTAATGAGGTTCTTTGTTGCACAGGAGCTTTTCCTTCTTAAGAAACAGTATATCTAGAGATTTAGTCAACCAAACTCTATACTTTACTGCATACTTGTCATTCACCAATTGACAAGAAATGATGCTGTTTCCAGGTGTGTGTGTGTGTGTGTGTGTGTGTGTGTGTGTGTGTGTGTGTGTGTGTGTGTGTGTGTGTGTGTGTGTGGTTAATTAAATTTGTATTAATTCTTCATAAACGAGAGCTAAGCTTCTTTCATTTATTTTTTGTCTTTAATTGTTCTCACGAATTTAATATTTCTGTTTGGTTTGATCAGCTCAATGCCTGTCTTTTATTACTTGACTGATAATGCATTTTGCACGAGGGATGTTTTTTGTGGTACGACTTAACACAGCCAATACAGTACCCATATCTTGGTTATCCTTGTTTTGTTAGGTATATGTTCCGAAGCGGCGTGGTGAAGGCCCTGGCTCGCTTGGTGGCCACCAGTGCCCTCTTCCGCTCTCCTGACTTCACCGTCTCCCTGCTCTTCGCCCACAACCTCCACCAGGTGACGACTGCCTCCTCCCCCATCCTTCTAGTTCTAGTAGGAGGTGGACTGTATTCCTATGACTGTTTTTCTTATTCTTTGTATTATTCTCTCACTTTGTTGTTCACTTAACCCTTTGTCATCTTACTTTGTCTCAGATATTCTCTTTTTGAAATTTTCTTTAACTCGCCCTTTCATTCTCGCTCTATAAAATGTATATATGAACTCTATGTATAAATGTATTTGTTTTATTAATACACGCCATTTACTGCCGCAACACAGGATGGCCGGACAGGTGATAATATCCTGATTCTTAGCATGGGTTACACCTCCCCTCTGTTGGCAGGATGCTAGTCAGTGTTGCCGATGTATACCATTTTCGTCTGCTATGTGAACTAAAAAAGCTCGCGAATTAACCGTTAACGAGAGGGTGAACAAAAAGTTCACACATGTTTTAAAGAGGAAAATACCAAATAAATGAAGAATAGAAGATGTATTTATTAAAGTTTAAATAAAATAGTAACATATTTGTCCGAAAATGACGTACAAAGTCTCTTCATTGATATACAGTATATAGCATACATTCACGTAATTTTCCCTTATAACATGTCAGTTTGCGAGACTGATAGAGCAATGGGAACCTTTGAAACTACATTTTACCAGCATAAGTATGGAGGAAAAAATCCACACAATTTCATCTATTCTAGAAGCTTAAATGATCCATCCATATGACTATACTTCCATTTTCTCAACTGTATTTTGCCAAAGCTTAATAACTTAAACCTTCTTTTCCAACGTCAAAAATCTCCAATACAAGTATTTCATAAAATATGCAGTGATCTTTACCGTGATGTATTGTGGAGTTACATGGAGAGCGATGGAGTGAACAGGATCTCAAAATAACAAATATAGATCCCGAAGACAACACAAAATTCCTCCACCTAAATCAGATATATCTTGGGATAGAAGTTCATAGTCTCCTCCAGTCTGAAGAGTATAGGGACAGGAAAAACATGATAGAAGATGTGATGAATAGATGCAGGCAATTTATGATTATATCTTGCAAAATGAAAAAAAAAGTTTCCACTCGGTAACGAACCTATACAGATATATTCTGTATTTTCAGTATAATTTTTAAATGAGCAGTCGAGGGTGACAATGCCTTCAATGTTACTTTTAATGAACGCTTTCCCTAGAATATTTCCCACGAACAAACAGCAATTGGATAATAAGTGGAGAGCCATTGACAACATAAAATTTCCAGACTGTATGAAAAATCAAAGAAATACAGACCTATTCTACAAGGAAATGTCAAGTATGAAAGATGATTTTGGTGAACCATATTTCCGTGAGCTGCTATACTTTGCTCTGGAGATATTGTCTTTGCCCACATCAAATGTTGATGAAAGAATCTTTTCCAAGGTGAATCTGACCAAAACTAAGCAAAGAACTATTCTTTCTACGCAGACTTTAACATCTCCAATCATTTCATCTGAAATGGTTCACAAATGTGGAGGATGTGTTTCATACGAGCCAAGTGAGAATTTGATTCGGTTTGTAAAAAATCATAATGATTAATTGTAAATACCACGTATATGTATTGTTTATTACCTTTGTATTTCATTGCAAAATGGGGAAATATATGCACGTTTGGTTACAAATTTAATTCTTTAAACCTTATTACGACGTCTTTTTTATTCCATACCAAAATAAAACGTATTTCAATATCAATAAATATCGTCTCTGAATATTTTCTATTTGTTTCCTGTTTAATTCAGTTACTCAATAATTTTACACGTTTCCTCTTATGTTACGTATGACACCTGGCCGATGTGAACATAGCGGCAACACTGATGCTAGTCCACCCCATCCAAGGACCCGGTCCACTATAAACAAACTGAAAGATAGTGTACTCATTTATTACTGAGTGCATGAGAGCAGGTGTACAAGGAGAGAAGGATCACATGTAGATTAGCCCCTCTACCTCATTTCACCTCAAGATTAAAGACCTAACTCTCCCTGGTGGGTTAGGTTAGGTCAGGTCAGGTCAGGTCAGGTTAGGACTGGCTTGTTTTGGTTACGTCAGGTTAGAACTTTCGTTAGATCAGGTCAGGTTAAATTAGGTTACGTTAGTTTAGTCAGGATTGATCTGGTTAGGTTTGGTTAGGTCAGGTCAGGTTAAGGTAGATTAGGTTACGTTAATTTAGTTCAAGATTAGTCAGGTTAACTTAGATTAGATAAGATTAGGTTAGGGAGGTTAATCTCAAGGTGATATAAGCTGGGCTGGGCTAATCCTAAGATGAACTGAAGAGAAGCTGGCCCCATCTTCTATCAGGAATTGAACCCATAGCCACATCTCAGTTACCTCTTACTGTTGATGGTGTGTGATTGTTACTTATATCGTGTCGCAAAAGTCGGTGATTACAGATGTTACCTGTAAGTTGTTATCTGGTTAAGTGGTGGAGTCGGTAATCACACATATACTCGGTGTGGTTTCTTATCATGATACGTGTAGTTAATTTAGGCCTGTGTTGCAGTTTTGTGTGTACGTGTGTGAGAGAGAGAGAGAGAGAGAGAGAGAGAGAGAGAGAGAGAGAGAGAGAGAGATGCGCTTCATTTGTAGGGGGGAGAATGAAAATATTTAGTACACCTGGTGGTAGAGTAATTATCGCCTAGTAATTACCAGCCTGTACATCAAAGAAACTGTACAGCTCCTCCTTAGCGTAACACCTACTGCTCTTCTCCGACGATCACACTAGGACGGGGCCAGATGGTGCTATTACATATTTGTGTTTGTGTATATATATAGGTGAATGTGTGTATGTTTGTTTCTGTATATGTGTGTTTTTGTTTATGTATGTGTGATTGTGTGTTCGTGTTTGAGTATATGTGTGTGTATTAGTGTATACATGTGTATGTGTTTATGTATGTGTGTGTACAATCAAAGACAAAAGTCGTGTCGCGGTTTTGTCCGAAGATTGAATATAACTCGCGACACATTATGAGAGCCCTACCACAAGGCAGAGCGCACCAAAAGTTGAGCTCTTCGGCATATGTTTTCACCAAATTTGACGACACGACTTTTGTATTTCATTGTATTACATTTGTTTGTGTGTTTGTTTGTACCAATATATATATATATATATATATATATATATATATATATATATATATATATATATATATATATATATATATATATATATATATATATATATATATATATATATATATATATATATATATATATATATATATATATATATATATATTTCATTTGCCCAATAAACATGCGGACTTCTACATACAATCAACCCGCCAGGATTCGACCCCGGTCACAGTCATGGGCTCGTATGGGTTCGAATCCTGGCGGGTTGAGGTGTTGATTATATATATATATATATATATATATATATATATATATATATATATATATATATATATTTATTTGTTTTTGTTTGCTTTAATATATGTGTGTATTTATTTGTTTTTGTTTGCTTTGAGGCCTTGTATTTTGCTGATATGACTTTTCAGTATTAATTCACCCATCAACGTAATCATTTTATTGTCACTAACATTCTATATATTTATTTACACTCAATTTCTGGCTGACGTCGGGGGTGGAGTCAGGTTGGTGAAGTGAGCCGCGCAGTGAGCGAGGCGGCGAGGTCTTCCTCCACGTGCTGGGACAAGGAGGAGTGGACCACACGCCCTTGGCTCACACCGAGGATGAGCTCCGTAAGTGTGTCCTTATTTACAGACTTAACTATTTAGTGTGTGTGTATTTTTCCCACTTTTGTAAGTATTCTACCACTAATAAGGGCCATATGAAGATTAACCCTAGCTTATTTTTACCCTAACCTAACTTAACTCCCGTGGTAGCGTTAATGTTTAGTCATCATGTGAAATAAGCTGGGGTGGGGGCTAACCTTAATAGGATATATTAATAGTACTCCACCTTCTTCATTTAGTTCTTACTGCGGTGTGAGATGTGCTCTTTGGTGTTCCTCTTTCACGATTAGGCTCTAAGACACTGATTAGTTTTATCTCTCGCTTTACACAACGCAGCATCACCTATCAGCAGAAGGTATACGTCCTCGTGTGTGTGGGTATAAAGATGTACTTACACGCGTTCACGAGTACAAAAGGTCATTGATAGATGAAGCCTCTGTGATGGCGTATGTTCATTGTTTGACTTACTCATGTATTAAAATTTGGAAATATATCTGTTAAGTACAAAAAACTATAGCATGTGGAAGCCTTGGTAACACAACCTATGTTTCTTTGTTACTTCACCACTTACCAGGCCCTCAAGATAAACCACCGCCTCTATTATTAAGCGTGTTGCTGATATGGTAACTTTATTTATGATTTTAAAACTAAATTTGAAACATATTTACTTATTTTTATTGTGCTTGAAAGTAAATTAATTGAAATTTTTATGTAAATAATGACATTTCCGTTGGGAATAAGAAGTGATAAATGAGAGTACTGAGGTGATACAAGAGTGACTTGTGTTGGTAAGGCGTATGTTTGAACACCTCTCCCAGCCAGTGTTCCATCACTCAGGGTAAGATGGCCAGAGCTTATCTGTGTACTTTGGTTGAGGATGTGAGGAAGTATATGAGGATATTTCTAACTTGTTGTCTTAGCCCTGTCTTGACGCTTTCCACATTACCTTTGCAGCCTCGTCTTGGTCGCTAGTTTTTGCCCAGGTAACAACCTAGCTCCGGCAGCTAACTTTACAATTGGGGAATAGAAGACGGTCGAGTGCACTGCTGGCTATGCTGCCCCCTTTTACACCTAAAATAGTTTTAATCTACAATATGTTGTACCCACACTGTACTGTACCTCTGGGCCTCACTCTCTCTAATATTTCCCCCTCGACTCCACTTTCTTTGAGGCTGCTGTCGCCTTGAGCCATCCCACACAATACTGGGACAGGAGTAAAGACAATGGGAAGGTAGTATACAGTATATGTGCATTTATCAGAGTGAGGGGCAGGTTGAGGAACACCTTACTCACCTTGAACAGTAAACAACCTCTTAGCTATGGTTCTAACAGATGGTGGATACTGATTGTTGTTTTTCTGTCTTACTAAACGAGGTGGATTTTGATGTTCAAGTACTCAGTAGATTGTACACATGTAATCAGTTGCCTGTAAAAGAATTAGCGGCAATTAATAATGAATGACAATAACGGAAATAATATTGATTAGATTTTGTTGCGTATACTCACCTAAGTATGTCAGAAATGTTCTTCAGTATCAGTGTTTCACTAACGCGCTCTCACTAACGTTGTATTATTATTTTAACTTGTAGCACGAGCGCCTGTTGCTGTCTCTGCCCTGCATCAATTCCATCACTGCTCAGATAATCCTGACGGCGATGTCGCTGCCAGACGTGTTGACGTTGCCCCTGTCCAACCTCATCAGCGCCCTCCCCTGGATACCAAACAAGGTCGTCACGGTAAGTCCATCCCACTAACAGTACAGATGACACTGTCTTATGTTGATTCCCATAGTTTTATTAGGGATCTAGCCTGGGCGGGGCCTTGACATAGTGAGAGTGCCTGGCTCTCATGGCACCCCTCACAATGAAGGTTAACTCGTCCTGCGCCTTGACATAACAAAGTGTCAGACCTGTTAGGCGAGAAGGGTTACCTAACAACTATGTTGTTTACACCATGAACTTGGCATGGCAGTGCCTGGCTCTGTGACGTCTCCCAGATGAAGAGAGCTGGATAGTCCGGGCCCTAAATATGACTGCGACCAGGTCTATAAGTCCCCAGGAGAGAAGAGTTGGAAAGGCCAACTAGCCAAAAACATTAACATCAAGGACCTATCAACCCTGCCTGCCACGGGAATGAACTATTGTCTCAGGGGTTCACTACCCTAGAAGATAAAAGGAGAGGAGATACGATGAAGTTCAAATAAATGAGGAGGAGAAACGGCGTTCAATGTGTTGTTGGTAAAATGTAATCCAAGGTTGGCGTTTTGTGGTGTCTGAGTAGAGACGTGGAAAATGGGGTTTAATTTGTATAGTTCACCAGTTTCCACAAGGTTTAAATATGTTTATATAGTTACAGGCATTGCTTTTTTGAACTTATTAAATACAGTGACAATACAATTTGTCAATTTCTGAAGTGTTTTAAAAGTTTCAATAGTATTTTTAATTTAAAAAGTTTCAGATTTTTCTTCAGCATAGTTTATCAGTTCCGGAAAATAATGTTAACGGAGAGTTTTACATGCATGTACAGTACAGTATACAGGTAGTAGATAACAGGTTGTATAAAGTTTTAAAACTATCTATAATATAGTTAACAATTTCTTTAAAGTACCGGTATTCAAAGTGTCTCTCTTTCAGACGTTATATGGACTACTGCACGGGGATGCTGTCAGCGTTATTAATAGTTATGGTACTACGAAACCCCTGAGTAATGTTCCTTCACTACCCACTAAGACCGAGGATGCTGCTGCCTCCGAACCCCTGCTAGTAGATGTGTCTGAACATGATCAACCAAATGTAGTAAATCAAACACTGTCCTATTCAGATTATGTGGAGGGCAGAGTGCTCGAGGAATCAACCCAGTTATATGTGAACGACCGAGAAGTTCCAGATGTGGTTTTACTCTCTCCTTATGCTTATCATGACAAGTCGGTGTTCACACAGAATACAAAGGTTGAATGTCCCGATACAACACTTTCTACTTGTGTTACTGAGGCGGCAGGTAACCACCACACTTCGCTTCATGGTGCCTTTCCTTCCATCCCACCTGAAGGAAAATATTTAGGGAACCTCTTCAATGCCAAGGACTTCCTCGGTTCAGTTCCCTCCACTGCTGCAACATCTCTTGATCACCAACAGCTAACACGTATGCAACGAATTACAGCTACACACCAAGTGTCACAGGTACATCAACAAATGTCACAACTGCCAGAACAACAGCAAGCAGTACCGCAGTTTTACCAAGAAACGCAACAGCAAATTCCGCATCAGTACCAACATAGGCAATATACGCAACAAGTGCCACAACCGCACCAACAGGTGTCACAGCCGCAGCAGATGCCATTGCTGCATCAGGAAATATCACAGATGCAACAAATATTACAGCCACCACTTCCATCACAGCTGCCAAAGCCAGTGCCACAGCTGCAGCAAGAAATCCCACTGTTGCCACCATCCTCACTGCAGCACCAGCAACACCATGTACAACATTATTACCCACAGCAACAAGAGGAAATTGTCGTTTTGTCTCCATATTTCCCTGAGGTGCAAAACGATTACACTCAGCCTATTGGAAACTTGCCCCAAGACGTGGTAATACCTGTACCTGCTTCACAACATAACCGCCCTAGCGGGGTCAGTACCTCAGAGCCACAAGGTTACCATGGTAGTGTCACACGTCAAGGGATGTATTGTGGCAACGTATATCAGCAACAACAACTACAGCAACAAAAACAACAACAACAACTACAGCAACAACAACTACAGCACCAGCAAAGCCATCTCCCTCAAGGATACTGGAATGGTTCTCCATCCCTTCACCAACAACCCTTAACCCTACGGCCTCTCGGCAATAAGATCTTCGGTGTGGCTAAACCCTATCAACATCATGGTAAGCATATTATAGTCAAGAGTAGAACGAAAAAAGAATACTGTATATCTATAGAAAAGTAAGTCAGATGAGTAGAAAGAATGAGCAAATATGAGTAAATGGCGAGTTAAACGAAAACAAACTTGGAAGAGAAGAGTTAAATTACGTGATAATTAGCCGCCCATTATTTCACTTCAGGATTAAACACCTTAACCTAACCTATTCTATTATAATCCCACCTAGGTTGCAATAGGGTGTTTAATTATCAGGCAAATTATGCTGAGAGAGGCAAATCTTCATGTGAACCAAAAAAATTAAATTTACAAAGTATCTACCATTAGTTTTCCACAAGTACAAACCACTTGACTCAGCAATACAAGGTTGTAGGAATAAAAAAAAAAAGGAAAATATGTCATTCACTGTTATATTTTGTACAGTTGCAGACAAAATTCCCTGAAAACTTTGTAATATCTGGTGTCACGTTGTGGGTCTTTTATATGACTGGTTTATATTTAATAGCTACTTTTCATCGCATTTAATGTGGGAACAACAATACCAAAAAACATAACACACCCTAGACCCTTTGCTGTGATTCCCGCACTTATTATTATTCTGGGTACCGCCAAGCCATTTTATTCAGATTAGGGTAACCCCCCGCAGCCATAAGGTTAAAACCTATCTCAATTAATACAACAACAAAATCCTAATCCACCTCACCTTATGATCCTCAAGTACAGTCAACAGCAGAAGTTCGTCACAATCAACCTAATAATATGTGGCAGGTGATCTGGTAACACTGTGGGAAGAGTATGACATAGGCTTTTAATTGGCTAGTTATTAGGATTTATGATCGAATATTGACGAAGAAACTCTTCCATATAACTTAAATTAGTATCCAGGCGTATAATGTGGGAAAATAATGTTATTGAGAAATATGTCATTACTTTATAATTAAAATATAATTAAGCATGACAAATATTCTTGGGTATCAGAAGTACTGATACCTACTGCACACTAACATGCCAGATACTGCTAAGTGTCCAGGGAACTTTGGCCGTAACTATACATTCTATAAAAGCTTAATATTTTATGTCCTTCTCTGGTATAAAAATATTTAGACAGTGATGCAGACAATGAATGGCTTAGTGTCAGGTATTGTGTTTAAAGCAGTATTATTTGATTTGGAACATCTGAAGATTAGGCATTCCAGCTTATCTCAACTGATGACTAACATTCTAACGCTACTTGGGGTGGTTAGGTTAATAGGCTAGGTTAGGTTAGCATTATTATGTTAGGTTAGGCTAGAATTGTTGTTAGATTAGGCTAGCATTGTTGTGAGGTTAGGTTAGTGTTAGAGGTGTTTAATCAGCAGGTGAAATAAGCTGAGGTGTCTAATCTTCAGGTGATCTTTTGATTTTAAGTAGTGAAGAGGAACGATTGCAGTAGGCTTTATGGTTGGTGAGATACTCTTGTGATATTGAATTATAATGATGCCATTTCTCTTACTATTACTACTATTAATGATAAGGGTAATACTACTACTACTACTACTACTAATAATAATGATAATAATGATAATGTTTATATTGATAGCAATAAACAATTTAAGATTTCATGTAGAATATGGCCTAAAATATAGTGTTATGCAGGTAATGCCAGTATGCCCGTGCCGCCGTCCCCACGGGTAACTCTCCGTCAGGAGGGGCGAGGCCACCAATATCCTGAAGACTATAACTTCCCTTCTAGCCAGGCCAAAGGCTTCGGGGCCAGCCAGGTGCCCTCCACACCCAACACGAAGAAACTGGCCTATCAGAAGGTACCGGGTCGGGGTGGACAGACAAAACTAGTTTTTCAACATAATTAATTTGTTTTTCAAAGAGGAACGCTCATTTTAGTGGATATTTTTTTTATTAGCAAATGTATATAATTATAATAGTACATGACATATTATATTAATGTGATCTCATAAGTCACGTTTTTGTTTGCCTAATTGGTGTGTGTACAGTATAGTACAGCACAGTGTTGTGTTGTGTTGTGTTGTGGCAAATAACTTTTTTATTATCTTTATCGCTTTTGTTACTTTCAAGAGTAAAGTTGCCACAGCCCCCTAACTACCCACCTTACCCCTCTGTAACTATTAGCGTTGTGGGTTCATTTGGTTCCCAGAGTGGAACCAGCACAACCTTAGTTAGGTGAGCTGTTGCACGCAGCAATAGACGCCCTTCTCTAGCCACCTTGTCCTCTAGCGTCTCGGGTGCTCATCAGCAGGCAATAATTATTAGCTGGTAAATGAAGATAATAAAAGAGATATTCGAATTTGGTTATGTTTTAAGGTGCTACAGATTAGATGGTATATTGATTCGCATGAGACCTTGTGTTAAATATTTTGAAATTATCAAAGTACCAATATCTCGTCAACTTACTTGTGGTATGATGATTTGGGTTTACGGATATATTTTATGGTTGTTTCGACTAGTCACGAAACTTAATATATTTTTTTTAAGAAGAACTTGATGCCTTGTATTATCAGGCCTTAGATTTTCCCATACGGGTCAACTTTTTTTTTTTTGTAACCCAGGATCATGTCTGATGTTCGCATAAAGTCAATGAGATTTTTTTAGGGGGTGGGAGAGTTAAGGTGATTTACTAGTAACACACGGGGGTCTGGAGACTTCTGGCCTAAAATTTTAAGGACCAGCAAAATTTCTTAAAACCCAGGCCTGTGTTGTACTGTACTATAATCTATTTCTTAATTTTCTTAATTTTATTTGGGAATTTGCACTTTAATGACTAGGAATTAAACTTAATTTTCAACTGATTCTATTCAAGAAATTGTTAGCAATACTTTATTTTAAGTAGCAGGATATATATATATATATATATATATATATATATATATATATATATATATATATATATATATATATATATATATATATATATTCATTTTGGTTGTACTTTCTAAGAGATGTCAACATGTTAATTCAGAATTACAGTAAAATGAAGACTTTATAATTTTGCACACTTGTATAATTATCTATCCATCATGACTACTTACCCCCATAATGTTGTAACCTAAACAAAACTCATGTTATATAATGGTTCGTGTCCTAGAGTACATATCGTCCGTGACCTCTTAGAATGTATTTTGTCTGTGTACGTCCGTGTCCTAGAACGTATTTCGTCTATACGTCCGTGTCCTCTTAGAACGTATTTCATCCGTGTCTACGTATAAATGTGCCACTGTTGAATGTTATTTGTAACTTTTTCCTGGTATGAGCAGTACCCATGTACCTTACCCTAACATAACCTAACCTAACTTTACTTAACCTAATCTTTACCTAACCTAACTTAACTTTACTTAACCTAATCTTTACCTAACCTAACTTAACTTTACTTAACCTAATCTTTACCTAACCTAACCTAACTTTACTTAACCTAATCTTTACCTAACCTAACCTAACTTTTTAACCTAATAAACCTAACTTTACTTTCTTTACCTAACCTAACCTAATAACTTTACTTAACCTAATCTTTACCTATCTTTACCCTAATCCTAACTTAACTAACTTACTTAACCTAATCTTTACCCTAACTTTACTAACCTAACTTTACTTAACCTAATCTTTACCTAACCTAACCTAACTTTACTTAACCTAATCTTTACCTAACCTAACTTAACTTTACTTAACCTAATCTTTACCTAACCTAACCTAACTTTACTTAACCTAATCTTTACCTAACCTAACCTAACTTTACTTAACCTAATCTTTACCTAACCTAACCTAACTTTACTTAACCTAATCTTTACCTAACCTAACCTACTTAACCTAATCTTTACCTAAACGGTAATTTTTCAGGACTAACCTGCGGGCGACATTGAGCGAAAACTAATATATAAACGCTGAATTTTCACTGTCTTTTTATAGTGGACACTGTTGTAGTTTGTGCAAAGGTGTTAAAAAATGAATATTTCTAAAATTAACGTAACTTAACATTTGTTGGTATGAGAAACAGATCTAACCTACCTAACCTTATCTAACTTCCTTACCGGAAAGCTCTGACCCCCCGGACCCCTGGTATATTAAACAGAAAGAACTTACTATGATGTGGTGAAATTTGAGGCATTTTCTGTACGTGAATTGATACGGCCGCATCGGCGTTTATGCAGCCCGGTCAGCGGAGTGATTTATTATGATGGCTGGAAACGTCAAGCGTTGAGGAGGTTATAAAAATTTTCTTCCGGTCTGAAAGCACAGGGATTCCCACAGTGTGGACAGTCTCTATTTAAGGGAACAATGTCGTGGTCTTTAAACAATTGAAGGGTCTCGTTGTCTTTATCCCCTAATTCGCAAATTACGTCCATATAAGACCAGCAACAGAACTCACTTATGAAAATATAGTACGAAAATAATCAGTAATACAAATAACTCGTTTGCAGGTTAGTCCAATATATTAACCACATTAACTAATCCTTATTTAACTCTAACTCCACTCTAACCTAACCTTAACATGCCTAACCTAACCTAAATTAAAATGCATAAAGGTTAAAATACATAATAGTAGCATCCTAAGTTAAATTTATATATCGTCAACAGATTTATAGATATGTTGGAGAAATAATTATCAAAAGTTTGTTGTCTCTGCAAATGTATTTAAAAAAAATAA